GAGGGAACCATACAATTGTTCAGTTTTAGTTTATCCTTATTTGGATTGTCCAGTTCAAAATTCAGTACTTGTCGAGACTTGCCATCCTACTTGTATTCTTGCAGTATATTGTTCTGAATGCAAATTTTACAATGCAGGAGAAGGAACATGAGAGTCCAGTAAAAGCTAAATTATCCAGCATTCCACCTCCATACCAGAAGCCACTGAAGCCTTCTCTTCGCCCCCCGCTAATTCCAACTGATGATGAACCTGTGAAACAAGAGGAGGAAGAAGGGCTCTTCACGTCAATCAGCAGACTTGTGGGTGGAGCAAAATCATCAATTGCAGAGATAATCGGCGCCGCATTCTCCAGAAAGAAGCGAGTAAACATTCATCATCATCAGCTGGGTAGGCCAACCTCCTGGCCAGTACAAGAAAGCTACGCCATCCCACGGGACGAGACCCCACCGCCACTGGACACAAGGGCGCCGACCCCTCGCAAGAACTACGCCTTCATGTCCAAGGAGCCGGAGAAGATCCACCACATCCGCCACGGTCGGCCTCAGTTACACGGCTGGACCGGAGAAGCAGCACCTCAGCAGCAGCCGCTGCCGACGCAGCCGCAGCAGGTGCATCACCAGCAGTACCTGCAGCACCACAGGCAGTACTCGGCCGGGCCGCAGACCTTCTACGAGCCGAGCTGCGATGCAACCAAGGAGATCGTCTTCGGAGCCGTGCAGGAGGGGGACACCAGTCGCCGTCCCGTGGAGATCAAGGCCGTGAACCACGGGGACCCGGCAGCGCCGTACGAGCAGAACGGGCTGCGATTCCGCAGCAGTTACAGCATGGGCTACAATGGCAACAACTAGTCGAGGAAGATTTATTACTGCCTCGTAGTGTTTTGGCGTCCTCCGTTGTACTAGTAGCTGTAACCTGTAAGGAAAAGAGAGCGATAGAGAGCACTCGAGGAGAGTATCAATCCCCTCATTGACAAGTGAAACGGAAAGGCTGGAGTTTGGTAGAAGAGCTTGGTGATAATGGTTATTGGACTCTTTTACTGGCGGTGACATATATATATATATGTATGTATGTAGTAAGTGAAATGCGTTTTGATCTCATTCGACGTGAATTCCTTGGGGAGATGATTTGGGTTGTGGAGAGTGGCTGCAGGGTGCTGGCCCTGTAGGACATGTGCGATGTTTCGGCTCATGTGTGGCTGTGGCAGGCTGGCCAGGACGGGCTGGCTGGTTTGCTCAGTGGTGGACCGAGGCTAGCGTAGCAGCGTGATAGCGTTTGACATTTTTGTTACTACCGCTGGTCACGTGGGTCATCTATGATGTGTGGCCATGATTTCACCTTTTGAATGCACCGCCGGACACCGGTAGTGACCCGCTCGACGAGTGAACCGTAAAAAATCCGAAAAGATTCAATTCTATCTCTATATCCTTATTCAAAATTCAAATGATTATTAACTGAAGTTATAGAAAATAGTATGAATAGGCATATTAAAAGAGGAAATTCTTGACTCGATAGTAAGTTCGAATTGTATGTTTTTCTAGACTAGACGAAGACAGTAGTACTCTACTGCTCTCCTTTCGATGGGGTCGCAGTGAACTGAATTCACGGCACCATGTGCCGATGCCCTCCTACGTCCGGTCCACCACACTCCGATCAGTCCCAGTCCCAGCTGTCCGCGCCTTCGATCCTGCACGGCCGCACACCGTGACACCAATATGGAGCGGAGGGGAGGACCGTCGGTTCATCTCGCCAAAAGGACAAGGCGCAAGCGCAACACCACCACGAAATCGTCTCTACTCTCGGCGTGGTTGTGCAGTCGTCCCGGCACATGCGGCCGCAGTGCCCGCGTGATATCGGCGGCTCGGGTGCCCTCCCCACGCCGTCCAACCGTGCTCGCCTGCCCTACCAAGCGGCCTTTTTAAAGACGATATGACTACAACCACACGAGCCAAGCGCGCGTGTTCGCCGTCTCACCCGGTCGGCTCCAATCATGTACCCCGTTCCTGATGGGGTGATGGCAATGCTGCTCCCAAGCGACAGAACTGGTCACCTCCAAGGACCAAGAGCTGAAACCCTTACAATTACGAAGTGGTAAGAATTGGGGATCTAAAATCATCAGTACACTGCTGAGAATGCAAACATGTGGGAATAAAATTTCCGAGTGAAAACATTCCCATGTATTCATGTAACATCTATGCGCCAGATTGACTCTCGGAAGCAAAGAGAAACAGCAAGAAAAATGAGCAGAGCTCGTGCTTCTCAATATATGAAGCTAACTTGAAAGAGTCTACCAACCAACATTTCTGAATTCCAGTGTTACAGCAACATTTTAAAATATTTAGAACTGAAAAATCAATTCGTCATGTTACTGAAGTTCACCACTACACTGGAACCACAATCTATACTGCAAAGTCGATAGAAAGTACTAGACGTCTAGAGCAACTTGTCCTTGGTTCACTTGTCCAATCTCTTCTCTCACAACCGGAGCACAAAGCTAGCACACCAATCTCATTTTCTCCTATCCTTTGCCCTCTTAAGTGTTTTCTTGCCCTTGTTCTTCCACTTTTGGTTGCCTCCTGGTGTACGGATCTCCTGAATTTCACGTACCTTGCGCATCCTGCATTTCATTGGAGATCAATGCCACATTCAATTTCAGATGAAAAAAAGAAAAAGAAAGCACTAGCTATGGAAAAGATCTGGCACAATATCAGTTTTTTCTGTTCTCATTTTGGGGTCATTTGAATGATCAAAGATGGGGAAAAGGGCTAAGGTAACATGCTCTGGACTCTAAATGGAACAAGGAAATTGATTCTTGAAACTAGGATGCCGTTCTGAATTTCTGTGCACTGGAGCCTTGTTTCAGAGTCCAATCAACATAATAATTACAGGGCTCTGATGTGTATACCTAAAATGGGTTTCACGGGTTACAACTATCCCTACATACAATGTTTCCAGTTAATGCTAGATAACTAAATTTCATGAATTGCTAGTGATCCGAAAGGCCATATTTAATAGATACAGAAAAATCTTGCACTGAAAAAAAAAGTCACTGTCCATTAACGTACATGCAAAACAGCAAAAGTATGATGAGCATACCTGTAGCTCTTAAGAGATTGATCTGATAACAGCTCATCGACCAATGTTGCCTTGCGTTCCCTATTTTTCAGCCTACTTGAGTAGAACTCAGATGCAGGCTCAACAACCGTACCGACCTAAAGCCAACATTGAAATGTTCAGTAGACATCAGCTACAGAAGAGATAGATAAAGCTTTCCACAGATTAGGATGATAAAAAAAATGCTGAATAACTCTGCCTGATGGTGATTAGGCTACTTACTTGGAAGTACTTGGGAAGGGCCTTGGACTTTCCTGCCCGCTTGAAGTGCCTTTTTGGGTCAATTACATGCCTCAGCTGCAAAAACAGATGGCAACCATATTATCACATAAGCATCCCAAAGGACAAACCAGAATCACTAAACACACAATACCAATTGAGTAGAGACAGGCACATCCAACACTGTGCATTACAATTTACATGGTATCCTGAATCTCAAGTGAAACAATTCAGATTCTTTTTTCGTAAAAAAGTAAAATAGCTTCAATCAGATGGTAACACTGTCAGGTTGTTGCAGTAAACTGCTCTCTGTGTTCGCCCTACTACACACTGATGCAATAGCAGCTGCACAAACATGTTTTGCTTGCTTTATCAACGTTAGTCCAGAAATTCTTGACAGCATATTATCCGTTTTACAGGCTACTACGGCATCCTACTGCTAGTAAGGTTACTGAATCAGAAGTAACACCACACCTGCAAAATCTCCAGATCCTTCTTCAACTCGGGAGTGATGGTCGGCGCTGGCATGTCGAACCTGAGAAATACAGCAGCAAAGCATAAACGTTCGCACATAAGCCCTACCATGCGGCAGCAACCAATCAAGAGAGCTAGGGTGGATTCCAAGGTAAACTCACCAGCCCTTGCCAGTGGTGTCCTTGACGTTCTTCCTGGCCAGCTTATTCAGCTGCCTAGGGTCCCTCGGGGGCACGAACAACCCGTCCACGAGTTCGCTCGCGGGCTTCCAGAGCGACCCCTGCGCGGTGCTCGGATTCGGCGCCTGGTCGCTCTTGCTGCTGCCGCTGGTCGTTGCAAATGAAGGAAGCTTGGGCGCCCATGACAGGCCGATCGGCGCCGCCGTCTCCGACATCGCTGGCCCTAGCGCTGCAAGTTCAGAAACTTATCACGTCTCTCGCCCTGGTATTGGATTAATCCGCCGCGGCGGCAGGGTCGGAGGTGGGACAGTAAAGATAAGCAGCGCGGCGGCGTGGCGGCCGTGGGACGGTGGGAGGAAGGCCAAGGGGCTGGGAGTGCCTGGGAGACATAGAGAGGAGGGGAGCACTAGGGCAGGAGGTTAGCAGGCTCAGGCATTGTGGGCCGTCATTTCAGAGTTTTCGCGGGCCAAGAAAATTTAACGGGTCGTAATGGGCTAACTCAGATGCGAGCATCGCTGTTTCTTTTTTAGGCCCATCTCTATTTTTTGTGTTTGTGTGATCCGAGTCCCGAGCGATGCCGTCGTGTGCCACATGGCGAGTCGGCAACGGACTTCGTCACCACGGCTTCATCAGAGTTCAGAGCACCCCTATATAAAAAACCAGAGCTGAGAGCCTCCGTTCCCGTGTGGAGGGACGCAATATTCGCTTGAGGCCACGCCTCGCCATCGCAGGTGCTCGGCTGCTCGCTGCTGGCCAATTCCTACGGCTAGGATTCGGAAAGGAAACGCACGCGACTCCCCGACCAAGAGTCGGGCTCCCGAACCACCTGAAACGAAACTAACTTCCGATAAAACAGGAGCTCCCGAGCACCCGAACTCCCCTCCTCCGATCGATGCGCGCGCATCGTATCGAATCATACCGGACCTAACCGCGCGCCGCGTAGGAGCGTACGTCGTCGCGAGGCCGGAGAAATTAAGCCACGCCCCGCGCCGCGCCGCGCGATCTCTTGTCGAGGCAATGGGGGCGCTGCCGGCGGGCCTGCCGCCGCAGCTGGGGACTCTGCGATCGACGCTGGACCAGCGCGGGGCGCGGGAGCCGCTGTTCGCGTTCGACTGGGGCGTCCCCGACGGTGAGCACGCGGCGTGGGGGGTGGATGACGGTTCCGCGAGGGGCGTCGTGGGCCGCCTGCGGCGGGCGGCCCAGGCGGTGCGCGCGCTGGCCGTGGAGATGTGGGCGTTCGCGCGCAAGGACCCGCGGAAGCCCGTGTTCGCGGCGAAGGTGGCCGTGGCGCTCGCGCTCATCACGCTGCTCGTCTTCCTCCGCGAGCCCAGCGATATTGCCAGCCATTCTGTGTGGGCCATACTCACCGTCGTCGTCGTCTTCGAGTTCAGCATCGGTACGTTGCTGCTCCCTTGCCTTGCGATCACCCATGTTTCCTCTCTCTCTCTCTCTCTTTTCCAAAACCGTTAGTCGTCGTCGTCGTCGCCGTCAATTCGAAATCTCGGTGCATGACTCTGAGCCGTATCAAATTCCCACCATGAAGGAAGTGAGGAAAAAATGTCTTTTATCATATTCTATCGATGGAATATGGTCCCAATAATTGGACAAGTCACAAGACCGAGATCGTGAACAACATTAAAGATCATCAGGGAAAAAAAAGGACCATGGAAATACAGACACTGATGTCAAAATTTTCAGATAGCCCTTGGAGGCTTTGCTAACCTATGCAGTTATGCTTGATATATATAAAATTAAATGCTGCTAGATAGGATCTATTTTGTTTGCACCCTTCTTTACCAGATAACAAACTGAACAACCCTCACATGAATGACGACATGTTTTATTTATTTATTTTATTACTTTCAAAAAAATGTTTTATTTATTTATTTTTACCAGGACTGCTCATGGATCGTCATACACATTCAATCTCTAACTCGGTTTTTTAATGTTAAACAGGTGCAACTTTGAGCAAAGGATTCAACAGGGGATTGGGTACTCTTATTGCAGGGGGGCTTGCTCTAGCAGTCGCTGAGTTAGCAGCACAAATGGGAAAATATGACATGGTGGTACTCATCATAAGCACTTTTGTAGTTGGTGAGTACTGAAATTTATTGCTGAAATCATTCAGTTTATAATAATATTATGATATCTGAACACATCTAACAAATATTCTGATTACCAGCATTCTGTGCCACCTTGACGAAGCTGCACCCGAAGGTGAAACCATATGAGTATGGATTTCGTGTGTTCTTGCTGACTTTCTGCTATATCACGGTCTCTGGGTACAACACGGGAAAATTCACCGCTACGGCTATAAGTAGATTTCTGTTGATCGCTCTTGGTGCTGCTGTCAGTCTCGGCATCAACATAGGCATACACCCAATCTGGGCAGGAGAGGATCTGCACACGTTGGTGGCCAAGAATTTTTCTGGTGTTGCAAAATCTTTAGAAGGTACGAGCATTAAGAAATGGATGACCAAAAGGGTTTGTGTTTCTGGCTCCATAATTTGTTCTAACATATTACTAATACATCAAATTCAATTATGTTCTCCATTATAGGATGTGTTGATGGATATCTGACCTGCATGGAATATGAAAGGATTCCATCCAAGATACTCACATATGAAGCATCTGATGATGATCCTGTCTATAGCGGGTACAGGGAAGCTGTTGAGGCATCAACACAGGAGGAAGCCTTGGTCAGTTATTTCTCCAAATGCATCATCTACGAATATTTTTATTGATTTTTTTAGCAAGTGCGATGTCCTGTCCTTGCAGTTAGGATTTGCTATATGGGAGCCACCGCATGGACCTTACAAGATGATGAAATATCCATGGAAGAACTACACCAAAGTTGGTGGTGCGTTGAGGCATTGCTCATTCTCTGTCATGGCATTGCATGGGTGCATACTTTCAGAGATTCAGGTTTGTGCATCTTATCCCGCAATAGATGACCCACTGAACACACGGATTTCCTTGCTAACTTTGTCTTACAAATTTTAGGCACCACCGGAGAGCAGAAAGGTTTTCTGTGCAGAGCTTCATAGAGTGGGCCAAGAAGGTGCTAAAGTGCTGCGCGAACTTGGGCAGAGAGTCAAGACGATGACGAAACTGAGCTCACCAAACATTCTTTCAGAAGTGCACTTTGCAGCTGAAGAGCTGCAAAAGAAGATTGATGAGAAGTCATACCTTCTCGTCAATACAGAAAGATGGGAAGTCATTCCAAGGCATGCCGGAACTGCACAAACTCATGATGGTGCCAATGCTGCTGACAAGGATGAACCACCCGAGAACACCGCTGTCGATTCAATGCACATATCAAACAGCTTCGCTTCAAACCCGTTCCTGAGCAGATTCGATTCTTCAAATCCGGTCCTAGGCAGATATGATTCAGGATCAATGATAGTCGATTCATATAAGGCGCAATCATCATGGCCTGTCCGACAATCTTTCCATCCAAGCTTTCCATTTGAAAGTGGGGAATCAAGAACTTACGAGAGCGCAAGCGCCTTGTCGCTGGCCACATTCGCATCGCTCCTCATTGAGTTTGTTGCCCGGCTCCAGAATCTTGTTGATGCATTTAAGGAGTTGAGTGACAAAGCTAACTTCAAGGACCCTGTGGAGGAACCTTCGACAATCAGCAGGGAGCCTCCTGGGGTTTTAGCTAGAATACATGACTTATTTCGGTTGAAGTGACGCAGATGATTAAAAAAAAAACCCCACCCAGTATTGAATGGATGGTCAAATGTGTACAATAGCCAACTTAGGTCGAAAATGTTCATAATGTAACTAATCTACAAAAACTCCATGTAGAGGAGACAGTGTATATACATAATACAAGTGTACAACACAGTATACACATTACAGACGAGTACAACACAGAGTGGGGGATTTCTGACAGTTCCCATGGAACGATATACGATACACAACGGCAGGTTCTACTTAATAACGAATTCTAGAATACCAACGGCGTTCACAATTTAAGCTTTACACATGTATTATTGCCAGCGGGGATGCTCGTCAGAGGAAGAAGGGAAAGCCCTTTTGTGATTGCGGTCTGGTGCAGTCTGAATTTGCCCATCCAATCTGCTTCCGTTGATTGTTAAACACAACTAACTTGCCGCGCAGAGAAACATCTACAGAAAAACAGAAAGGTTTTGGTTAAAGTTTGGCAATATCAACACATTTTCGCTATACTGCTGGGTTTATTCAATGGGTGACACTAAAATCCAAGTGTTAAAATGAAGGACTGAAGGAAGGTCATTTATACCTCCCACTATGATAGTTGACCCATGATTAATCTCTGTCCCATTGAGAAGCCCAAGACAGACATTTCCTTTATCCTGGAAAAGGTCCACCAAGAAAAAGAACATATATACACAGGCCCCTTGCGCGTGGCTTTAAACCCGGCTTGATCCGCTTCTTTTTTCATCCAGAACAGTGTTTTCTTCTCACAAATTCCTCTAGATTCATCCGGATTTCTCCAAATTCCTCAAAGCGAACGGGGCCATAAATGTCACCATATGATTCAGCTTAGAAATGTTGACATATATATGATAGAAGAATAAACGGTAATCTAGGATGTGAATGCCAAAAGAAACTCACACTAATAATCAAGTAATCCTCAGGAGAAATAGTGAATGTTTTAGACATGAAAAGCCATTTCTTCCCAAAGTGAAGGTTCAAGGGCTTGAAGAACTGCTTGACATCTTCCAGATACCTGGCGAAGAAAGTAATGTTAAGGACAGGTAGTCTATCTAGTGGCATAGTTGCCTGATGAACTCCCTCTCTAAAGAGACAGTACTAATAGTTCCATTATTATTTTACCTCACAGGGAAATCAGCTTTCCAGCATAAAGGTAATGTCTGATCTGAGCTGTCTTGGACAAAGCCCGGAGACATGTCATAATTCCTTTGTGTGAACGTACAACAAAAGACGGCGTCGAAAAAGGCTTTCTGCTATAGTACTGTAGTCGCTGCAGAGGCAGACGCCGAACGACTCACCTGCCTCACTATAGTCACATGCAGAGGCAAGCACCAGAGTCAGCCCTGCTGTGTTATCTAGTCACTGTAGCAGTATGGCAGCTGTACTATGACTAGATGGGTAGAGTTGTATATATAGTCTGCCACTGCAACTCAATAAAGAGAGTTCAGATTTGCCATCTCCTGTATAGGGCTCCGGCCAACGCTGGTGCTTGTACTGTGTGTGTATGCTCTGTTCTCCCTCTTCTTCTCCTTCTAGCCATAATGTGTGCGGTCGGACAACGCTTGTTCGTGGTCGGCATAGCTAGTGAGTACTCGGCAACACTAGCGGATGCTCGACAAGACTGGTGAGTGGTCGACTCACCTGAATCGGTGATCCTATGGGCCAACAAGTGGTATCAGAGTCGTACAAGCACCGTCGCTAGGCTAACCGCTGGCGATGACGAACGGTTCGGAGATGGACGATAGCAGTGGCACTGTTGTGGCTGCCCAGCCACGACCGGAGGTCGTTGTTCTCACGGTGCGGGAGGTCAGTGGCACCAGTTGACCGACGCTGACTCGCATCAACTATGGAGAGAGGTCGGTGACCATGAAGGTCAAGCTTAGAGCCCGATGGCTCTGGAATGCTGTTGACAAAGGCACCGATAGTGAAGATGACATATTAGCGTTGGAGGTCATCCTCGCTGCTGTACCGGCAGAGTACAGGGAGCCATTGGGGGCAAAGAGCTATGCTAAAGAGGCGTGGAAGGCTATTGCGGTGATGCGCGTCGGTTTCGACCGCGCAAAGAAGGCGACGGTCCATCTTCTGAAGCAGGAGTACGCCAACCTCAAGTTCAAGGATAGTGAAACGGTGGAGGACTTCTTCCTCCGCCTGCAGACGCTCATCAGCAAGCTGAAGAGCCACGGCGTCACTATCGATGAAGATGAGGCGGTCTCCAAGTACCTTCACTCTGTGCTAGCAAAGTACATCCAGATTGCTCTCTCCATAGAGACGATGCGGCACTTGTCCACCCTCACCATTGAGGATGTGACAGGCCGTCTGTGGGCGGTGGACGAACGCCTGAAACAGGCGATAGCAACGAAAGACAACGGCAAACTGCTGCTGACAGAGGATGAGTGGGCTACTCGGAGGAACTCCGGGGTAGCCTCCTCCAGCCGCGGTGGCGATGGCAAGCGTCGTGGCAAGCTTTCTTCAGAGAAGAAGAAGCAAGTCGACCCCCACGCCTACCGGCGCTGTGGGAAGATGGGCCATTGGGTACGGGAGTGCCCAAATCGTAAGCAGGAGAAGAAGGCTGAGGCTCGTCTGGCACAAGCTGATGATGATGATGAGGCCACTATCCTGATGGCGACATTCTATGCACTGCATGACGTCAAGGCCGAGGAGAAGGGAGAGGTGACGACGGTGGAAGGACCTGGGAAGGCCCTGAAAGCTGTCAACCTCAACGAACCGCGTGCCCAAGTCCACCTTGGACATGTGGGCGCCGACCAGGAGCAGCGGTGGTATCTTGACTCTGATGCCAGCAACCACATGACGGGCTCCAAGGCAGTCTTCTCTGAGCTCGACGACGATGTTACCGGTACGGTGAAGTTTGGTGACGGCTCAAGGGTGGCTATCCGTGGGCGCGACACCATCATCTTCAAGTGCCAAAATGGGGAGCACCGCACCCTAACGGATGTATATTACATCCCACAGCTGCGTTCAAGCATCATCAGCATTGGTCAGCTGGATGAGCGCTGTAGCGAGGTACTGATCAAGGACGAAGTCCTTAGGATCAGAGACCAGGAGCAGCGACTTTTCACCAAGATGAAGAGGTCCCTGAACCAGTTGTACCTGCTCGACCTGAAGGTAGAGCAACCGGTATGTCTGGCGGCAAGGCACACCGAGGAGCCATGGTTGTGGCATGCCCGATTCAGATATCTCAGCTTTGACGCGCTTGGTTGGCTGGAGAAGATGGTCCGAGGGCTACCCCACATTGAGCACGGAGGCGAGCTGTGTGATAGCTGTCTGGCCGGAAAGCAGAGGAGGCTGTCGTTCCCAAAGGTGGCCAAGTATCGCGTGGAGGACGCTCTCGAGCTCATCCACGGCGACCTCTATGGGCCGATCACACCAGCCACAAATGGTGGTCGGCGATACTTCCTTCTGCTCATGGATGATTGCAGTCGCTACATGTGGCTGCAACTCCTGACGAGCAAGGATGAAGCGGCGGCGATGATCAAGAAGTTCAAGATGCGCGCGGAGGTCGAGAGCTGCAAGAAGCTCTGCTTGCTGAGGACTGATCGAGGCGGCGAATTCACTTCGGTGGAGTTTGATACATACTGCGCGAATCGTGGTGTGATGCGACACCACACCGTGCTGTACTCGCCACAACAGAGTGGCGTGGTGGAACGACGGAACCAGATGGTGGTCGGCATGGCTCGATCCATGATAAAGGCCAAAGGCATGCCGGCAAGGTTCTGGGGTGAGGCAGTGACCACGGCGGTGTTCATCCTCAACCGCGCTCCCACCAAGTCCCTGAAGGGCAAGACACCGTTCGAGGCTTGGCATGGACGTAAGCCGAGCTTGTCCTTCCTCTGGACATTCGGCTGCATCGGCCACGTCAGGAAGACGAAGCCGATCCTCACTAAGCTGGAGGACAGGAGCACACCGATGGTGTTCCTAGGCTACATGGAGGGTACCAAGGCATACCGGCTCTATGACCCACATGGAGACAAGGTACTTGTCTCGCATGATGTTGTGTTCGATGAGAAGGCGGCTTGGGACTGGAACAGTCCGAGCACTGGGGAAGCTGGTGGCTTCACCAGCACCTTCGTCGTCTTGCACCTGGTCATCCACGGTGGTGGAGACGCTGGGAAAGAGGTGCCAAGCACTCCGAGAGGAGTGCCGAGCACTCCAGCGGCAGAACCGAGCACTCCTGGGGCAGTGCCGAGCACTTTGGGAGAGATGCCAAGCACTCCGGGAGGAGTGCCGAGCACTCCTGGAGGGGTGCCGAGCACGCCAGAAGTGGTGCCGGGAGGTTCTACAGTGGTGGCGACCACTCCAGGACAGGTGCCGAGCACTCCCATAGCAGAGCCAAGAGGTCTTGTAGTGGTGCCAACCACTCCAAGACTGAGGCTAAGCACTCCTACAGTAGTGCCAAGCACTGTAGGAGTAGTGACGAGCTATCTAGAAGTAGTGTCGAGCACTGCATCTGGGGTGCCGAGCACTCCGGCGGAACATGGAACTCCATCGATACCAATCGAGTTTGCCTCACCTCCAAGTGACATCACTGAGTTCGTGGACGCCTTGCATGATGGTGAGGAGGTGCGGTTCCATAGGTTGGATGACATCGTCGACGGCACAGGGCCCTCAGGCCTGGCTGGTCGGCTGCTCAATGATCAAGAGCTGCTGCTCGTCAGTGTTGAGGAACCACCCACGTTCGCACTGGCTGAGCGTGATGGAAACTGACGACGGACAACGCTGGAGGAGATGAAGGCAATCGAGGAAAATAAGACTTGGGAGCTCGTTGATCCACCTCCAGGATGTCGTCCGATTAGCCTGAAGTAGGTGTACAAGGTCAAGCGGGACAAGCTCGGTGCCATTGTCAAACACAAGGTGCGCCTCGTTGCCTGAGGCTTTGTTCAACACGAGGGCATCGACTTCAAGGAAGTCTTTGTGCCAGTAGCGCGCATAGAGTCTGCCCGTTTGCTACTAGCTTTGGCAGCAGCAAAGGATTGGCACGTCCATCACCTGGACGTTAAATCGGCCATCCTCAATGGTGAACTGGCAGAGATGGTCTTCGTCAGGCAACCTCTAGGTTTCGCCATCAAGGAAGCGGAGCACAGGGTGCTCCGACTACACAAAGCGCTCTACGGGCGCGCGGAAGGCACCATGAGCGTGGAACGCCAAGCTTGACGCCACGCTGGGCGAGCTTGGGTTCACAAGGTGTACAACCGAGCATGCGCTCTACACATGGCGATGGGGGAATGAGGAGCTCATCGTCGGCGTGTATGTGGACGACTTGATCGTCACCTATGCGCGTGCGGAGGACATCGATAGATTCAAGCATGAGTTGGTGGCTTGTTTTTGAATGAGCGATCTCGGCGCACTCTCCCACTATCTTGGCATCGAGGTGAGACAGGGGAAAGAGAAACTCACGCTCGGTCAGAGCACGTATGCCTCGAAGCAGTTGGAGCAGAGCAGCATGGCTGAGTGCAAGCCATGCATAACTCTGATGGAGGAGCGACTGAAACTGACAAAGGCCAGCACCGCGACGAAGGTGGATGCAACACTCTACCATAGTATCATTGGTGGTCTGCGCTACCTAGTCCACACAAGGCCGAACATTGCGTTCGTTGTGGGCTACGTCAGTCGCTTCATGGAGGATCCCAGAGAGGATCACTAGACTGCGGTGAAGCGGCTACTACGCTACGTCAAGGGGATGGTGGATCAGGGGATCATCTTCCCCAAGACCGGTGAGAGTAGGCTATAGCTCATTGTGTTCAGTGATGTAGACATGGTGGGGGACATCGATGGACGACGAAGCACCTCTGGTGTGCTCGTCTTCCTCGGGTCGGCTCCAATTTCATGGCTGCTGCTGAAACAGAAGGTGGTGGCGCTGTCTACATGTGAGGCAGAGTACGTGGCGGCGGCCACAGCGGCGTGCCAAGTTGTGTGGTTGCGCCAACTATTAGGTGAGCTGACCAATGCGGAAGCTCACCCACCAGCACTGATGGTGGACAACCAGCCCGCCATCACCCTCGTGAAGAATCTAGTTCTGCACGACCGGAGCAAACACATCGACGTGAAGTTCCACTTCCTCAGGGACTGTGTCGATGGAGGGCAGATCGTCATCGAGTTTGTCAAAACTGGTCGACAACTCACGGACGTCCTCACCAAGCCGCTCGGACGTATTCAACTCATGGAGCCGAAGGATATGATC